CAGGCCTTCGGGAGGCGCTGCAGGGCGTGGTAGAAGGCGCGGGCCTTGTGCCAGGGCCCCGGCGAGGACACCGAGTTGGTGCTCGCCTGCAACCGGGCGAGGAGGCGTCAGTGCCATCATGAGCACCGAGGCCAAGGCGGGCACGGTCGGGAGCTGTCGCTCCTCGCCGCGGCGGCCCCAGCGACACGCTGTCCTGCCCGCGGGGAGCGCGCCGCTCCGCTCCGCGAGGCGGGAAGCTCGGAGAGGGGCTGGGGAGGTGGGGAGCCTGGAGACCTGGGAAGGGGATAGCGTGTCGCGTCGAAGCGTGGTGGGCCAGAACCGGAGGTGGGGAGCCTGGAGACCTGGGACGAGGATGGCGTGTCGCGTCGAAGCGTGGTGGGCCGGAACCGGCGGAGCGACACGCTATCCGAACGTTCCCGACCGTATTGCTCACATGCACAAGCTATGCAAGTGATAGCATATCAGGCACAGCGAGATCGTCCAGAGAGGAGACCTGCGGGGGTCCTGAGGCACTTGCAGGGGGAGGGCGGGGAGGGGGGAGGGGGAGGGAGGCCAAGCCACTAGAGGCCTCCCAGGTGGGTTCGGAGTAAATGGGGTCAGATCGCGCCGCATCGACGATGCATCACCGACGCATCGGCGATGCATCGGCGACGTCGGCGACGTCGGCGAAGCATCGGCGACATCGGCGCGGAGAAAATCGGGCTCCACATCGGGTCACGCCGCCGACGCGTCGGCGATGCGGCACGTCCGGCCCCGTCTATTCCGACCCACCTGGGAGGCCTAGAAGAGGGGGGGGAGGGAGGGGCGGTTCTTGCAGATCAGAATCACCTCCATCACCCCCCTCGCAGACCTAGGCACACGTTGCGCCCTCGGGGGCTGCTCTGCATGTCACGGCCTCGTTGCCGATCTGTTTTACCGCTGCGTGTTGAGGTCCGTAATGTATACTACGTCGCCCACCTCGGGATGCTACCGTGCTTCGTTTAACCAGACGCCGCGATCCCAGTTGATCTGAGTCTGCCCATCGTCACAGGGAGGGGGAGGGAGGCCGAGACTTCGGTCGGGCATGTCCTCATACAGGCGGATTGTGGAAGGAAACTGAAAATCGTCAAGACAAGATTCGAAACTTGCCGAGAGTAGTCAAAGAATCGCCCCTGGACTCTTTGTCGACTGTTTTGGGACACTCCTCCCGTACGGGGACATGCCCGGCTCGAGCCGAGACGAGACGCTCCGAGGCTCGAGAATGCCGAGTCTGAGGCTCTTTCTTCTGCGTGCTCGGCCTCCCGCGGCCGCTCTCGGGCCCCCCCGGGGCCCGTCCCGACGACGAGGCGGGGCGCAAGACCGGCCCCCAGGGAGAGGCTCGAGAGCTCCGGGGCTCCGAGGCTCGAAGCCGTGGGGTCTTCGGAGGCCTCGGGGGGGGGGGGGCGGGGCAGCGGGAGGTGGCGTCGCGGGTCGAGGATGAGGAGTGGGAGGAGGATGGAGGACGAGGGTCGGAGGTCGAAGGTCGAAGATGAGGAGGGGAGGAGGATCGAGGATCGAGGATCGAGGATCGAGGATCGAGGATCGAGGAGGAGGAGGAGGAGGAGGAGGCTCGAAGATCGAGGATCGAGGATCGCGGATGGGGTCGTCTGGCGTCTGCGGTCCTTTTGAGGGGGCCCTGCAGGGGGCGGACCTGGGAACCTCCCGGGGAGGGAGGGCGGAGGCGGAGGAGGGGGGGACGGGGGAGGGAGCAACGGGAAGAGGATGGAGGGGGAATGGGAGGGCGCGGCAGAGGAAGGCGGTGCGCACGCGCAAGGGATGCTCTCGGCCGCCGCCACAACCCCGTCCGCCCCCCACAACCCCGTCCGCCGCAGGCCCCCGGGGCTTCCGTGATGCTGATGGCCGTAGTCCGGCGCCACGCTGGGCGGCAACGGGGCCAGCACGAGGCAGCGTCATCTTGATCCTCCGTGGACTCGGTCAGGACGGATGTGCACGGTGCTGCGCTGCTGTGGATGTGAAAGAAGAGAGGAAGGATGATGGAGAGCAGAGGACAAGGAGAGGAGGCAGGAGGAGGGGGAGGAGGAGGAGGAGGAGGAGGAGGAGGAGGAGGCTGGAGAGGAGCAGGAGGATGAGGAGAAGGAGAATGGAGAGAAGGACAGAAAGGCAGAGGAGGAGGAGGAGGACGAAAAGGCGGGAAGGAGGCCGCGTGGACTCTAGGCAGCACAGTGATCGCATTGAGCTCATATCCTCTCCTCCGTCTCATTCTCTCTCCTTCTCCTCCTCCTCCTCCTCCTCCTCCTCCTCCTCCTCCTCATCCTCCTCCAGTTTCCTCCTCCTCCTCCTCCTCCTCCTCGTCCTCCTCCTCCTCCTCCGCCTCCTCCTCCTCCTCGTCCTCCTCCAGCTCCTCCTCCTCCAACTCCGCGCCTTTGCCCACACGGGAATCAAGAGCTGCGCCAAAGCAACGAGGCGGCACGCCCCACCCTCCTCCGGCAATCCGACGAAAGTCGTAAGGATGCGCCCATCAGGCCAAAAGCCCAGCGCCTCCCCCCGCCCCCGCGCGCCCCGCAGCCCCGCGCCCGGGCGCACCCCACCCCCCCACCCCCCCCGCCGCCCCCAACCCCCGCCGACCCCCAGCGCCCCCGCCCCCAGCGCCCCACAGCGCTGGAAATGGACAACACAACGATGCCCTCGTCGGACAGGTGCCACGCGAGGCCCTCGGCGCCATGATGAACTGCCCCACCGCCGTCCTGGCCTTGAACACGAGGCGGGTTCTCCGCCGCATAACAACCGAGAGCGACGGTAAGCAGCCCCACTCCTCTAAACTCCGGCGGCTGCCGACATTGGGAGAGACCGCGGTGCGTCCACGTCCGTTTCCACTCACGCCTCTCTGTGGGCCAGCTGGAACGGGCTGCCTCGAGCCGACCGCTCGAGGACCTCTCGCAAAGGGTGGACACGCGCAACCCCATTGGCCCCATCAGCCCCGCGCACGAGAATCCCGAACCCACTGCCCCACCAATCACTTGCTTCGCGTTCTTCAGCCTCTTCAGCCTTCAGCAAAATGCCCCAATAAAGTTGCCAGCCCACGAGCCAAGCCAGCAAATAATTCAGGATCCAACTGACTAAGAAGCCCCACAGCTCAGTCGCGGCCACCGTCTCATAGATAAAACGGTCGAGCTCAAGAAACTTCCCAAACCAAGGAAGATGCCTGCGCGACCGTGATTCCACACACCACGCTGACCGCCATAAGCCGCTGAGCGCGCTCACGCTTCCTCTCCCAAGCTGGCATCCTGGTATCCCATGCTTGGGCCAACGCGCTGCTACCTGCAGCGCCGCCGTGCCATCGCTCTTGGAAGCCGCCCTTCGAGCTGAGTAAAATTACGCCGTGCCTGGCCTCCACGACCAGCACGGGCACGACGCTCCTCACGGCTATGTCCACAACGATTTGACAAGTCAAGCTCAATCACGCGCAGCACCTGATCCCAAGTTTTCGCGGGCCCACCTGGTCAACTGCAGCAAGCACTGATTAAAAGGCGCACTCCCAGTCACGAGCGCGCGGAAGCGGCGAGCACCCAACTGGGGCATAGGACACCAGCCGAGAGGTTCAACAGGCACACGCACCCACGCCTCAACATCATTTACAGCCAACGGGAACTGCACAGGATGACGCGGGCACAAGTCAGAGGACTGGAGACTCGTCTATCCGCGGCCGGTCGACACGCAACGCCAAGCTGCTACGCGCGATGCCGTAGTCGACGATGCCCCCGTCGCCCTTGACACACGCGACGCCCCGGGACACCGCCCGCGCGCCCTGAACACCCGGAGCCAATCCTGACACGAGAACATCAGACGCTTTTTTGAATTCTTCAACGCCGACCCGATCCATCTTGAGCGACGCGATGACCTGGAAGTAAGCTGGAGATACGAGCGGAGGCAAGCGTTGTTCCCATTGGGGCCCACCGAATCGCGGAAATCAACAGAAACCACCACTATCCGATTTTGCACTCCCGAGCGTACATGCGCAGCACACATCCTGCCAGGGGCCACGCCGAAATCGAACCAGGGGGCTGTCGTGACCGAGACATGCGTTTTCGTCAAGAAAGCAAATCCACCCGACGCGCCGACACCATCTGAGAGGACTGCTGCACTCCATACTCCGTGATCTCCCAAATCCTTTCTGCCGTATTCTGCAAGGGCCCGAAACGCGACGCGGCGCCGCGATGTCCTGGACCGCCAATGCAGAACCAGGCGGCGAGGACACTAAGAAATTGATGGGAGGGCATCCACATGCGACGTTCACGCTGGCAAGCAGTCCCTCGATGGCCCTCGCGCTGCTGTCGACAGGCGGATGTTCTGACGCAGTTCTCGAAGCTGCATCGAACGCCAGCGGGGAAGAGAATCGCGGCGACTCCGCACGCCGCGGGCCCAGGATGAGCACGCACAAGTGACCAATGACAATATCGACGCGCGCTCTGCCCCCCCCCCTCCCCCAGCGATTTGCCACCGCGGGGACTGCCTCGCGGGGACAAGGGCGCCGCCGGACGAAGCACTGACCAAGCCAAACGAGGCGATCAACTGAGGCGGCGCCTTTTCCATCCCAGGGGAAGAGAGTGCAACGCCGCCTGGCGGCGAAGCCGAGCGAGTCACTGAAGAAGACTCAATACATACCGCACCACGAGAAACCAGGCCCGATGAAGGGGTTCCACGACGTCGTGGCCGTCTACGCCTTCTTCGCAATCGCTCGCAATTCGGGCTCAACTTCGTGCAGGTCACGAAAGAAACCCATGGCACACCAATTCGACATGACCTCATCACCGTCCATGTCGTCAAAGTCTGGCCCTTCACAACGTTGACGTTTGCTATCAGGTGCACCTTCAACGCGTTGAAAGGTTGCCGACTTTGCCGACGCCACCGTCTTGACCAAACGGCATGCCTCGACCGCGATCCGCAGCTCGCCTTCGACCCCATGCCACCTGCAGAAGTTGGCCCAGCACGTCGGCGTCAACTTGAGCAGCAGGAGCAAACTTATCACCTCTAGGAGAACGGGACGCAACCTTCCCGGGGAGCTGCAATTGACCGTCGAACTCCAGGGCGATGGCCCTTAGGCTGCCGCCTTGGACTCCGACTCGGCCACCGCCTGCAAAGTTGCCAATTCCCCCTGCTTTGAAGCCACAAACTTTTCGAACCGCTACAACTTGCCCTTCTCAGTCTTCTGGCCCGCCCTTTCGCCGGCAAATCAGCCGTCGCCCGCGCATCGTCGGCCGCCACCTTCCCCGCGCCCACGACACCAACGCGCGCCGCGCGCGTACTTTCCCGAAGCCCGAGTTGCGCCATGAGGATCGCGTCTTCCGGGTCCTCGCTGGAGAAACCGCTCGACACTATCTCCACATCCGGACAAGCACCAGCTGGGGTCATGCCAGTCGCCGTCCGTCGCAACTCAGCCACCTCCTCCTCCGCCTCCTTCTCCTACGCCTCCTCCTCCTCCTACGCCTCCTCCTCCTACGCCTCCTCCTCCTCCTCCTCCTCCTCCTCCTCCTCCTCCTCCTCCTCCTCTTCATCCTCCTCCTCGCCCTCTCATGTTTATTAGTATTCTTCGTAGTGGTATTACCAGTCGCATTATCATTATTTGTATACTTCGTCATGCTATTCGACTTCATAGTATCAGTACTGTTCGTACTACTCGCATTGTTCCTTTTAAGATTCGTCGCCCTCGTTTACGCCTTATTAATGTTAACAAGATTCGTAATAACAATAAGACTACTAGTATCAGTCGTAGTACGGTTAATAATAGTATGATTGGTATCGTTCGTGTTAGCAGTGCGATGATCATTGGTATTCGTAGTAGTATCAGTCGTGTCGTTGTTGTTACTAGTAGTACATCATCATTGGTGTTCATCCTTGCTCTTAATAATCGTTGTAGTATTAGTCAGATTCGTAGTCGTATGCTTCTTAACAGGCTTCCCAGTATTATTCTTAGTAGTAGTATTCGTCTGATTCGTATCATTCGTCTTCGTGTTCTTTTTCTCCGCAGTGCTCATAGTATCAATAGTCGTCTCATTATTCCTCGTATTCTTAGCCGGGCTCCTATTAGTAGAAGTATTAGTAGCAGTGCCAATACGATCATTAATACTAGCATTATGTTTGTTACTATTATGATTACACGAATAAACTATTAGCATTATGAATATGAATAGTAGTTATGTTCGTATTCGCCTGCTTCCTCTTTCGTCTTAGTATTGGTCTTAGTGTGCTGTTTCGTCTTCCTCGTATTCCTCATCCTCCTCCTCCTCCCTCCTCCTCCTCCTCCTGCTCCTCCTCCTCCTCCTCCTCATCCTCATCCTCCTCATCCTCCTTTTCTCCTCCTCCTCCTCTCCTCCTCCTCCTCCTGCTTCCTCCTCCTCCTCCTCCTCCTCCTCCTCCTCCTCCTCCTCCTCCTCCTCCTCCTCCTCCTCCTCCTACCGTCGGAGGTCGCCGCGGCGGCAGCGGCGGCGGCGGCTGCCAGCGCGGCGCGCGGGCGGCGCCCCACTGGGTGCAGAGGGCCACGGCGTGGAGCAGCAGGGCCTGCACCGCCAGGTCCACCTCAAGGCTCGACCTAAACGATGCCTTCCGTGGTCCTTTTGTTTTCGTGTTCCCTCCTTGTGCCTTCGCCCCACTTGCGTCAAGACGGAATGGAAACGACAACGGCCCACGAAATCGCCAAAACACCATTTAGGTCGAGCCCTGGTCCACCGCGCCAGCGGTGAGGGGGGACGACAAATCAGATCAGCTCAGAAGCCGTGCATCTCTGCAACGCGCGTTCGCAGCAGCAGAGGGGCCTCCTCCTCCTCCTCCTCCTCCTCCTCCTCCTCCTCCTCCTCCTCCTCCTCCTCCTCCTCCTCCTCCTACCGTCGGAGGTCGCCGCGGCGGCAGCGGCGGCGGCGGCTGCCAGCGCGGCGCGCGGGCGGCGCCCCACTGGGTGCAGAGGGCCACGGCGTGGAGCAGCAGGGCCTGCACCGCCAGGTCCACCTCAAGGCTCGACCTAAACGATGCCTTCCGTGGTCCTTTTGTTTTCGTGTTCCCTCCTTGTGCCTTCGCCCCACTTGCGTCAAGACGGAATGGAAACGACAACGGCCCACGAAATCGCCAAAACACCATTTAGGTCGAGCCCTGGTCCACCGCGCCAGCGGTGAGGGGGGACGACAAATCAGATCAGCTCAGAAGCCGTGCATCTCTGCAACGCGCGTTCGCAGCAGCAGAGGGGTCACCACGGTGTGGACACAGGATGAGGAACCATTGGATGAGGAGCCCAGGATCTGGAAGTCGGTGGAGCTCCAATCGTGGATTGGCCATGGATATCACTGCCGCCGTCATCAGATAAGGAATCAGTAAGGGTCTGAAGCCTCCTGGGCACATGCCTTAACCAACTCCCACCGCATTGAACCGATGCTTCGCGGATTGCCTACCCGTAGGTATGAAAACCCTCCAGATTGCAAGATTGCGAGGCGGAAATACCGAACGCAACACGGCTGCAAAGCAGATATACAGAGCGCCCCACGACTGCGAAGCAGAACAACAAAGCACAGAAGGCGGAGACGGGGAAACATCGAGCGACACGCCCCCGATGGCGAATCCTCACGTTCCTGGGCGGGGTGGGCTATCGAGACCCCATCGGCGATTGAATGGGCGACTGGCGACTGGGGGTCGACGCGGCCCACCCCTGAGCCTATCCCTCTCGAACATTGCCCCTGATGAAGCCCCGTTTTCTCCATCCCGGCGTCGCCAGTGCATCGGCGGTGCGGCGCGACCCCCTGATCCCGCCTGCTATGGTCCCACCTGGGAGGCGCCCGCTCACGCTGCGGACGCAAGTGCACCTGGCCGCCTGGAAGAAGCCCTCGCGGGGAGAACGGCGCGAACCGAGGCGCCACGGGGCGCATCTTACCCCGGCCCCGCGCAGGGCCAGGCTCCTATCCGACAGATCTAAATGCGACGTCGCTTGGCTTTCACGACGCGGCTCCCCACAGAGCTTGGCCCCCTCCCCGAGACGCAACGTTTCATCTTGCATCGTTGTTTGACTGTCCCGGGGCCCGGCAGTGGCCCCCAGAGGCCGACAGGGCCGTGATCTCTTCGCGACGCGAGGATGCCAGGGGATTGGCCTCGCGCGCACACTTTTTGCGTCGGCGGCTGGGCAGAGGGCGACTGCTCCAGAAGATGGGCAACAGGGGACACGCTGTATGCAAAGTAGAGCCGCCATGCACGGAGGAGGAGGAGGAGGAGGAGGAGGAGGAAGAGGAGGAGGAGAAGGAGCCCTGGCGTGACAGAAGTGAAGAAGCCGGGCCCACTCAGAGGCGCCGTCTGCGGCAGGGGGAGCGCCGAGGGGGGGAACCAGCGCCAGCACTGAGCTGCACTGAGCTGCACTGAGCTGAACCTGAAGGGGGGGCGCAGCCCAGCAGGCTGGGCGGCAGGTGGGGGAGCAACACGAGCGAATCAGAGATTCGACCCAGCGACCGATAAGCGTGGTCCTGGGGACGAGCCAAATCGCCGAGACCTAGGTGCCTACGAGGCGCGGCAGACCACGGGGCGGGAGAGCGCCGAGAACCGGGGGGGCCTACGAGGCGCAGGGCGCGGGGGCAGGCAGCGACGACCTGGCGAAGCAGACGCGAGCCGAAGGCGGGAATAAGCAAGAAGGGCCACGCCAAATGGGGGAGCGGCGGGCCCAGGGTAGCCAGCCGGGCAAGCACCGAGACCGAATGGCCAATGGAGCGCAGGCCGCCGCGGAAGCGGCAGCAGCCAGAGCACCAGTAGCCAGTGTCTGGATGGGTGTTATGAAAACCAAGCAAAGGGCGGGCGACCCCGACACGGAACCACCCCGGGGGAGCGTGGCGCCGAGACCTGGGGGCCTACGAGGCGCGGCTGGACGCGAGAGACAGAGAATGGCGACCCTGAAAAGGAGCCACTCAGGGGGGCCGCAGGGTCGAGAGCGGCAGCGTCCAGCACGCCAGTGCATGGATGCGAAGCCCGAAAACCACGCGCAAGGGGGGGCACCGAATAGGTGCAAGACGGTGACGGAGCACTCCCTACGGCCAGGGCCACATCCCGTAGCAGAGGCGCCACCGCGCATGAGGGGCCTGCTGCGGCCCCTCGGCGCAGCCGCAAGAAAATCAGGAAGGCGACGGAGCCAGGGAGCGGAGGAACCTGCGAAGGAAGGCGGCGTCGCGCCGGCCGGGGTCCCTGTTGCCCCCGCCGCGCCGAGAACAATACCTGGCCCAGGCCACAGTGGGTCCGCCGCCTGCTCGCTGCATGTCCCGTGCCCCGTGGGCATTGAAGGGGTCGCGGCAGAGGACGCCTGGGACAGGGGCGGCGGCACTGTCCCCGCACTGGGAGGTACCGCGGTATCGCCACATGGACGGGGGGGGCGGGGCGAAATGCCAGCGGAAAAAAGGGCGCCCACTCGCGATGCCCGTCAGCGCCGCCCCGCAGCCGGGTCAGCGCAGCCTCGGCATGGCGCAAGGTGGGGCGCCTGGCGCTTCCCCGTCTGGGCATCGGCGCGCGATCCACATGCGTGAGACGGCGCACTGGAGCATCGATGTCCAGCCACAGCGACGAGGGGCGCTCGTGGTGTCCGGGGTGGTGCCCTTGCGTTCTACAAACCTTCCGCGGCGAAGACGACTCTCTCACTGCGCCGGCAACACTAATACCACCACGCGCCCTGGCCGAGGCGTCACCGAACAAGAATCGGTCGACTGGCACGCGCCCTTCCTGGGCCCCGCGGGGCCCCGGGGGGGGAGCGGTAGATCGCTGGGTCTGGGGCGGTGCGGTTCTGGCAGGGGCGGCCCTGGCGCGGCGTTCGTACGTCCGCCGCGGGGGCAACGTCGCTTCGCGTCGACGCAGGCGGCCGTGGCTGGGGGGTCGCTGGTGGCCCCCGCACCCAACGCCGGCCCCCCGTTTCCTCCGCCCTGGCTGCAAGAATGTCTTCGCCACCAACCTCAATATATGTTTCCCGTCGCCGAGGCCCCCAACCCTCTTCTGAAAATGTTTCTTTCCATCCACGGGGCAGCTAAGCGAGGCCGTCGCGGGCCGGGGCGAATCGGGCCACCCAGGGGAGCTCTCGGCAAGGGGCGCAGCGGCGCGGAGAGGGCCCCCTAGGGAAGATGACGCATGAGTTGGGGGCGCGCTGGCGGCCCCCGCAGCCGCGCCCCCTCTCATCTCCTCCGTCGCGGGGGTGGCTCGCGGTGGCCACGGCCCGTCGGCTTTGGTGATGGCGTTGACATATGAGATCTATGTCAGATGAAGACACTTATAAGTTAATTCAAGTATATATGAAGTTAGTTGTAAGTAACTTGAAATCACTTGTAGTGAGATATGTTAAAATCCTGCAACTACCATCCACATCTAACTTAATTCATTAACATATATACTTAAATCACATGTAGAACATATGTTACTTGTGTGCACCCAATTGCCATAATTATAAGTTACGTATAGTTATACTTATAAATAAAATAAGTTTAAGTCCGATAAGTCTGCTTTTTCGTCTGCTTTTTGAAAAGGGGGTCGGAAACCAAAAAACGCGCAGGTCTTCTTCAGCACAGTGTTTCGCCAGGCGCCAGGCGACCGAGAAGGCCGTTCATCACCGAGCTCAACCCGCGCAGCCTGGGGGGTAGGAAAGAGGGGGCGGGAATGGCGGGGGGGGGAATCGGGAGGGGATGCCATGCGCATTGGCGGCACACCGCCCGCACTTCTCATCGCGGCGCGTTCTGATGTGATTCGTTGCGGCGGCCCACCGCCCACGTCTTGCAAATTCTGAACAATTTTATCGCATTGGCGGCGCACCGCCCATCGCTATGCTTTGCCCGCGCATTGCAATTTGTACGCTTTGCACATGTTGATTGAAGTTTCGTCGCGTTTGCGGCGCACCGCCCACGTTCCCTTGATTGCGCGAATCGTTTCTTCACGCATCGGCGGAGCACCGCCCACGCAGCACGTTTCATCAGAATTCGTCATCGAATTTGGCGGTACACCGCCCACGTTCCCGTGATTGCGCGATGCGTTTCTTTCGCGTTGGCGGTGCACCGCCCGCGGCGCATGCTTCGCCCGAATTTGTCATCGCATTTGGCGGCCCACCGCCCACGTCACCTTGATTGCGCGAGGTGCTTCTGCATTCGTTGGCGGTGCACCGCCTTCGGCGCACGTTTCATCATACACCGTTTGTTTGGTCGCATTGGCGGCGCACCGCCCAGGAGGGGGGAGGAGGGAAGAGGGGGGAGGAGAGGAGAGCAAAAAGGAGACGTGAAGGGCCATGCCATTTCCCTTCGCCACAATACGCTGCCCCTGCCCCACCGAGCGCTTCTGGAGGGGCCGCGGGGCGGGCGCCCCCCGTCGCGCCGCGGCGCGATGGAACGCGCCCAGGCTGCCCTGGGCGAGGCAGCCGCGGCGCTTGCAGCGGCGAGCGGGCCTTCCAGGGGCGCTGCAGAGCAGCTGCACTTCGGGAAGGTGCGCGCGCTCATCGAAGGCCAGAGGTGAGGCTCGGGTCAAAGATCCCGTACGGGCGAGAGGCCATCCGTTCCCCCTTCGAGGAGGTCCCCGCCTCCGTTCGGCGGAACGCCGCCCGCTCCCCCCTCCTCCCCGCCGTCTAACATTCCCCCGTCGTTTTGCAAGTGGACGGCCACGGAGAAAGGGCAGCTGCTGACCCAGCTCGGGCAGACGGGGTTCAGTCACGATTTGGTCGGCGCCGCGACCGAGTGGCTCTGCGGGAGGCGCAACGAAGGCCAAAGGGCGAAGTTACGAGTGCTTCGTGGAGTTGCTGACTGCCTCCACGTGGCACGTACTGCTGAGCCCAACCGAGTCGTTCGCTTCGAAGTTTGTCATGTTGATGCGCCACTTGGAGCGCCTCGGGCTCCGGAACCCTTCCGAGCCGACGTTTGGCATGCTAGCCGCGTTCATGTTCCTGGCGTGCCAGCGATCAGGCACCGAGAAGAACTCGCCGACTCCGCAGCTCTTGGACGTGTACTTGCAGTTGGCGAAGACCA